TACAGGCTGTTTTTGTTTCTCAGTTGATAGTGCACCATCTATAATTTGGAATGCCAAACTGCATCCGGCAATATCATATCAAACTTTACCAAATTAGAATTCAAATTCTAATATATAATCAACCATTGCTGGGCCGGCTGGTCTAGTGTAGGAATTGAATGCAATATATGCATTATAGGCTAAATCAGTCCTCTCTGATTTAAAAGCAATATCCAATTTCTTAATAAGTAGGCTAGAGCCTTAGACCATCATCCACATTTAATTCATCTGCTGTTAGGTCAGAAACAGCTTTTTCAGCTTTAGAATTGCCATCTAATGACAAAGTCGCACCAAAATTCCTTGTTTTTTCACCGGTATCTCAGTCACCGCTTTCCACGTGTCCAGTTTATTTACCTTACCCACTCCATGTAGGTCAAATCCTCACCAAACTTTGGTGGTTGAAGTTGCTTTGCAGTAATTTTCCTCTGCTACCAGTGTTAAACTGATTAATATCATATAATACAACCTTTTATTACACGATCAGAATAGATATATATTAGCTAGCACAGCACCCATGCTGCAACCATCATTAGCAAGGACAAGTAGATACAAAATCAATGAAGCGTGAAACATTAACATTGATAAGAAGTGAACAGGCAGTGTTGCCAGAAATTGACCAAACAAAATAGTACAAATAATACAATATCAACAATTTTAAATTATATTTGAAGACTAAAAGACATCAAAAATGTATTTTTGAAAAACAAATGGTTTTATCTGCTGATGCCAGGTTGATATTGAGGTTGACCATTTCAAAGCTAAATTTTCCCGATTTGGACATCCTTAGTCGAAAGGCACACTCGATTCGCAAAGTTTTGTAGATTGCGCACGGTACACCAATTTGTCTAATGTTTTGATTCCATAGGCAGGAGGTTGTGGATCGGTACTGCTTAGGATGGGATATTTATGGTTATAAATGCATATTACGTATTACGTGTTCCACATTAATCTTTTGTGTTCAAATTATGTAAAGTTGGAACGTGAACTCCAATTTACTCAACGTTATTGTAGTGGTGTCCTATTTGCACCCGTCTTGAAGAATTATGCGCAATCTCCCAGCTTCTAGTAACTGCACAACCAAAGTAGTAAAGAGTCAACGAGATCCTTGGAAAACGAACTGTATTCATCAATCTCCACATAAGAGTAAAATGTTGCTACAGCATAGAAACGTGAAGACCAACGATGTTATAACGACACGGATGTACTATTATAAATAAGCAGGGATGGCCAATTCGAATAAAGTATTCGAATATCACGTTATCCGAATATCGGAATTAGCGTTCGCTTCCGAAAACAAACAATATAACTAATCCCATACCCGACTTGGAATGGTAACCGGACGAGAGGCCGTGGTTCGCCATATGGATAAGCCGTCTTATCGGCTTTCCTCTCCCCCTGGATAAATATGTAAATCCTATCCTATCCTTGTGTGACGTCACACATTTTCAACGCCGCTTTCAAGACGTTTCCGTTGAATGAAAAGAAAACATTCTCGATAGAAACGTGCGCGTGATTGTTTTAATCACTCATCAGCAAATAACCGTAAACGCCTTTACGTTTGTGTTATTCTCTCTAAAATGAAAATTTTCGACAAATTTGTTCCACGATAACGATGACAATTAATTTATTTTTGTATCATTGTGAATGTGGTAAATACGTTCATCAGCGGCGAGTTTCTAGAGACAACGCAACTTTTTGATTGAAAAGCGGCAATTTAAAATACTGAAAATAAAACCGTAATCGATATAAGTTTTACTGAGGCCCGCGAAAATTTAAAAAACGCTTTTCTAGGCAGTGAAAATCGCAAAATGTCGTGTGCCTCTGGCACACATTATGTTGGGTCAGCGTTTAAAAACATATCGTCACGAATTGAGGGCGGGATTTTCCTGAATATACATTACTTTAAATTGCCGTCGAATAATGATACAAGGTTTGAAACGCGACTTTTTCCCGGGTTCTGAGGATGTATATAATATAGTTAATCTAAAGTATATTCAATCAATTTTATTGTGATGAAATAAATTTTACTCTGTGATGTTACAGCAGATTTATGGATTTTTCGAACGGTTTTATCTAAAAATAATCAGAGTGGCAGCATTTCGATTGAGCGGAGTCACTGATAACAAGCAGGCTACATCTAAATATTTGCAGAATTCGCAAAATAGGGATCAAAACATTATTTAATCGGGCAGTTTACCACACGTTTCTATTTTTATGACCGCGGGTGCAATGGTATATAAGAGTGGTGAAGATTTTATTTTGTCGACGCAACCGCAGGTTAAATTAAAGATAATTAAATTAATAAAGCAAGACATTTTAAATATGCCCGTATCGGTCACGAATTCATCACTTTGCACAACAGAAAAATATATATTCGTTGTTATATTATTTGTTGTAAAAGTCGACTCTTTTAACAGGTGGTATAATCGCGGCGATGAATATGTATTTTTAATTTACTGCTAAACTTTACATGTATATTCATTGTATCAAATGAATTATACTCTACACTTAACAGGATTTTATATCATTATTTGAGATTGTTCTAACGGCGATAACGAGTTGGCAAGATTGCAAAAATACGTATTAAAATTAAATACATCAGGCAGTTTATCTCGTACTTCTAGGTCACAGATCGCCGTGGACCGAATAGTAATGTTTTTTTTTTGACGTAAGAAGAAGCAGCCGCGAGTTACGTTGGACACATTAAATTAATATATAAAGATATTTTAGAATCTCGTAGTTGTCATGGATTGAATATTTTACGTAACAGGATGATCATTATACGCTGAGAAGACGGCTCTTTTAACGAGCGCGGAATCGCGGTGGGTGTTACAGGCGACAATGGGAATTTCCGATTTCGAAAATTCTGGCTGCGCGGCTGGCGGTGGTGGTCATCTATCCTCTACTAATTTATTTCTAATTTCAAACACAACAATATGTTACACATAATAACAATATGATTCACATAAATTAATATACAAATATACTGGTAGGAGGTAGAATACTATAGGCTTAAATATTAGAATTTTCGAAGGCAAAATGAATTTTCGATTGTTGTTGCTTGTTTCAGATGTCTGTATTGCCAATAAATTTTATTACTCTTAGAAAATATACAAAATTATCTGAATACAAGTAGTATTTTTGTCAATAGACTTGACTATTATCGAAATATCATGGTATCAATGATAGAAAGCGTCAGACAACTCCAACTCCAGACTGTGTCACAAGTTGCTATTATTTTTTTATTGATAGCTATGAGCTATCAATTACTTTGTGTACATATACTGTTGGTTTGTGGCTTTATTCTGATATTTCTATTGAAGCTTATTTCCTAATTTACTGGGTTTTAATAAACTAAAACAAAAATGTGTTATTTTCGATTTTAGAATGTATTCGGAATTCCAGATTCGAAAACATTATTTTAGAATGTATTCGGAATAGCTTAGTATTCGGAAATAGCCATCCCTGTAAATAAGCAATGAAAAAATGATAAAATAACATTCACAACAACAAGCAATAATAGCCAGTACTAAATAGGACCTAACTAAGCTAACTCAATGTGACAGATTTCACGAAGCCCGCACCCCTACTATAAATTATATTTAAGACAAATCTCAATATTAAACGACACTTTCGCAATCCCACAGTGCCGTATAGAACAAAGAATCAGAAAAGCGTTATCCCAAAACCCGGGGGAAAGTTTCACTCCCTATGTCTTTACTATGGCGTAATAATGAGTCACTGTCAACAGGAAATCAAGATAATAAAGATGGAACATAATTTGTCTGAGATTGTTAAGATAATAGAGAAATATAAATAGTCAGAAGTGTGAGGCGTGCGAGGTCAAATCTAACAGATTATATTATACGACTGTTTTCAAGGCTCCAACTTTTTTCTTTGGTAAACGCAGAATGCATGGGCCAATTAGAGTCACTAATATCCAAATCTTTATCAGCAAGGATAAGATGACCTGGAAATAACATTCCATAATTTAGGGTCAAAAATATATCTACCTCCACAGCCCATTCAAATGAAAGATATGATGCCTTGAGGGGTAATTTATATCGAAGTTATACAGTGTTATGGTGCTTCTAGTTAAAATGGGTTTGGGCGGCTGTTTTTAATTAAAGAGGTAGGTCTTGCCCTGAAGTGCAATGAAAATATTATTTCTGCTCTTGCTCGAACGGTTTTCAATTTCCAAAACAAAATTAATGGCAAGAACATTCAGTCATTTTCCGAATTTTAAAGAGAGGCTGAATGCATGTCCTGAGACAGTAATAAAAAAAAAACGATCTGAAAGAATACAAAGATAGATTGCAAGTGCTTCTGAAAAAGTTAGAGACTCGATTTAATGATTTGAAGAAACCGCACAGACTTCTTTTAGTTTTTAGCACAACATACATACTATGTTGTTATTTTCAGTAATGAACTTCATAAAATCAAAATTCTGTGCAACTTTAGCAAATGAACATATGACAAAATTGGTTCGCACTGCATTGGCTATACATATCGCCCAGACTTTCAAAGACTTACAGATAGGATAGAAACACACAATTCAGCTACTCCTGATAAGGCCTCGTAATAATATTATTTAATGTTATTAGATATTTGTGTAAATTTCTTTTCTGTTCCTGGTATTCTGATATTAATAATTTCAAAAACTATGCGCCTATCACCTATTTCTGACTTGCTGCATGGGGCTCTCATACTAAAACATTTTGCCCACCCCTGCTTGCCTTAAACTTCATGCAAAATTACGCCGACGAGTTCTCAGTTCTACGTCATCAACGGATCTTACTAATATTATCGGTCAAATTTTGAGGGGTTGACATTTGAAAACTCATGTCTCGCAATCGCAGTCCACTTTATGTAAGCGGTAAGCGCCAATAATCTTAAAAAATTGTAGAATCAAATTCGCAACAAAAATATTTCCGTGTTAACCCATCTTTAAAGCCATCATCCAAAGTACAAAGTCGAACTGGTTTATTTCTGCCCTAATTCGAATTAAATTTGAATTCGCATTATATTCGCTCCAACCTACAATCTTACGCATTGTTTAATATAATTATATATTTACACGAAATCGTATTATGGGCTAAACTCAATAGGCAATTTATGAAAATTTTCATTAATCCTAGAGGGTATTTTGAATTAAAAGAATTTAAGGATTTTTTTTCAAAATGTTTCGAATTTTCAAGGATGCACACGCCTGTCACGTAAAAACAGGAAATCGTAACATATAATAACATAACATATACCGATCTTAAGATCGATAAGTAATAACGGAGTGATGGAGAGGTTTATTTCAGTAATATATTTGAAAAATTGAGGTTAAACTTTCGAACCCTACTTATTAAAAGTTACAATAACATCACACATTGAACCGTGAAGTTGACATAATTCAGTTGTTCCGCCTAGAATTTTGAGGCGTCTGATGATACTCGAAAAAATTGTACAATTCACAAATATTTGAAGTAGAAATGCACTGTACACCGTGTCCGAGAGCTATGGTGATCATGTTTAGCTTACGAAATGAAAAATATAAATATAGTTGTCCCGTCAGTATTGATAGAAGCAAACTAAACCCCCAAAAAATATACCATATGCAGTGAAGGGGTTACAAAACATTATGAGACGTTAACGCCATTTTTTTCAAAATCAGAAAACTTCATATTTTCTCTTCATGTCTGGTTTCCTGCATTTGATGCAAACATTCAGATTCAGCATTTCTCTTCTTACATAAACGTATATTGTATCTAAAAAATGGAATAACTCAATCATGTGGCTAAACTACCCTAGCATATGCATCATAGCATCGTGTTGTCTAATCAACTTTCCATGGTCTAACACAGCGTGTCTCAAACTTTTCCCCCCGGAACACCTACGCATTTTATCTCGCTGGGTTTGAGTTTCCTCTTCATGGCGTATCTTTGACTAAAGAAACAGTTTCATATACTTACATGCGACATTGAACGATTAACAAAAACGACATGCTTCCCAGACTGACACTGGGGCTGTCTGCTTGGTTGGATATCAAATTTATGACCCATAGTTGCCAAGTACGACCGAGATCGTCATGGCGACCAATTTAGTCGCAATTTCGATACCTGTTCCGTGGAACAATCCAAAGTAGCTCGTGTAACACAGTTTGAGAAACGCTGGTCTAACCTTGGTTGGATATCGAATTTATGACCCATAGTTGCCGAAGTACGACCGAGATCGTCATGGCGACCAATTTAGTCGCAATTTCGATACCTGTTCCGTGGAACAATCCAAAGTAGCTCGTGTAACACAGTTTGAGAAACGCTGGTCTAACATCTTTGATGCTCGGTTAATGCTTATGATAAGTATTAAATAATCCTGAATTTAGTACTAACTTGTCTAAATCGACGGAGTCTTTTAATGTCTCAGGTAGTGGCACTTTGAGAGTCTCTGGAAGCAGCAATGTTGATAAACCAGCCATTACAGAAAATCCTCCCATTACTAGGTATGGAATGTATCGACTGACACTTTCTCCTGTAAAATAATTATTATATTGTTTTTCAAGTCATTATAAAGTATGTGTACCAATATGGAGGTAACTAATTTTGTTCGCCTACTTCACATCACGGTGTAAAGGGACGAAAGGGGTATATTCACTTGGCTAACACAGACAGTCCCCGAACTCGTAATAGGATTAAATTGAGGGAGATCGGAATAAAATTATGGCCTAACCCTAACCTGGTACACGTACAACGGGAGTACCGTCTTGTCAGCCTAAGACAGGGACCTATTCCAGTCTTTTTCTTCCTGCACTAACAAATATACGAATATATATACAGACAAAACGTACCTGCAAAAATAAGGTAGGGTGCTGCAATAGCTCCCACCCTTGCCATTGTAGATGATGCCCCCACGCTCATATTTCTCATCTTGGTTGGAAACATTTCGCAACAGAATATGTAAATGATAGAGAAAACTCCGGTCACACTGAACTTGCTTATCATGGAAGATGCAATCATGAGAGATTCGCTGACTAAAAAAATATAGTTGAAATATCAAGCACTTAAAAAAAATATTTCAACTATCAATTTTAACAGTTGTCTGAGCAATCAGATGGTGGTGTCACCCTATATACAATATATAGGCAAGTAAGATTTATCATTATATAAATCTAAATGTATATATGAAAATTATAATTTACCATCAGTTTATTTCAGGTTTCTAGTATTTAGCCGACTTTGCTTGACTCGAAGTCTCGATCGTCAAGATGTAAAGATAAGTATTGTGAACACTAACTTGAAGAAAAAAACGGCGCTGCAGCACAAGCTATTCCTCCCAAAATAAGGTAACTGGATAAAATGGTTCTGCGGCCGAATTTCTCCATAAGGAAATAGGAGGAAACGTAAGCAGGAATTTCAACCGCCGCCGCAACAAAGCAGTTGACAAATTTATTTCCGCCCAAATCAGAAGTTCCCAAGCTAATGCAATAGTAGACCATACTTGCTGTAAACCTGCGAAATGAATTCAGTAATGCAATATAATGCAAGCTCACGGCTTCAGTGCAGAAAAGAATGAAATCTAGAGTATTCCTATTGTAGCTATTTTGCTTTAGTGTTATGAAATTTATTACCACCTGCTCGTACATATATCTGGTTGGTATAGCCAATGTTACGTACTTGATTGAAAACGATGCTATTTGCACCAGCGCTCAGACTCAATTAGCAATCAAACTAATTTACGAAACACTATGAAGCGAACGCCTCATTCATTACACAATGAACTCTATTATCATTAGAGAATTGTTGATATGGTGGCAGCTATAACTTGAGCTGACAAATAGCCAAACGGAAGCTTCACCGTTTATGGACTGGCTGCTATAAAGATAGATCAAACGCTAAATTACTGATTAAAATTTGATATATTTGAAGAAATATGTACAGTTATAACGAGTGAGATTCAGGGGGTTCGCGCGAATCCGATCTTGCTCACGACTTGCGTTTTATTCGGCGATCCGAAAGTTATGTATTCGTTTTATTTAAAAGGTGTCATGTTAATGCAGACGAAGTGGTGATCTAACATACATATTCTGAAATGAAGGAACTGTTATTCGTGAGTTCGATACAAATAGGCTCCCGTTCTCAAAATTAAAACAAACAAACACGCAGAATGTATAGCTGCTCTTATATAATTGTACGTCCTATTTATCAATGAATCTCACAAAATAAACTACATGAACATGACACGCTTTACAATACATAACTCTTGACGCGGCAAATACAACGGATTTAGACAATCCGAGGCCTCTAGACCAGTGAGTTCCAACCTTATTTTACTCAGGGACATTGATCGGTAAATAACTATGTGTTTGTGATTTTGTTTTGAATAATTTATTGTGGGACTCCGTAAACAATAGTCAACCTTTTTATTTAATAAATCAAAATTCGAAACTGCATGACGAAACCACAAAGGCTTGGGATTCTTAGGCTTCAGTCCACCTTGTCTATTTGTAAATCCGGCACTGACGTTACCCGTTTGCCACAGTCGCTCAACGTTCGAAACAAAATCAGGTTTGCTGATTATCGTGACATTCTCAGAACGAAGTCACGCTATAACTCGTCCGAAGCCCCTGAATCCCATCACTGGTTATAAGTTATAACGCCTGTAACAATCGTCATTTTAGGTACAATTATTGATATATATGATACATAAAATTTACCAGATGAGAAACATTAAAAATGATCTTCGTCTAATAGACGGATGGCGAAATAAATCAAGGTACGTAAACTGCTCTTCTGTACCATCAGTCGAATCTTTGTCCATCTTGACTTTGTTTAACTATTATGAGTGTAATGTAAATAGAAGTAAAATTCGACTACGACTCTACGTCCCCGACCCTCTCTTTATTTCCGAGTGCGTTCTTGTAACCTTGCCATGTCTTGTACAAAGTTTCAATTAAAAAATGTATGATTAGTTGTTTCACGTTTGTCCATTTAGAGTTATGTTTGTCCATTTATTTATTCATGATATATTCGGTATTTAAGGCACTAGTTTTGATCTGAGAATTATATAGCCTACAGTTCAAAAAGACCTCCACAGAGAGCCCGGCGCCAACTATTGTATACACCCCTTAGGAATTGAATCAGCAGGCATTTTAGTCTGTTATGTCGTTCAGAAGACACTAGACGCGTTAAGGCAGTCATCCCCCACGAATCGATCACGATGGCAAATTCACGGGTTAGTTCTGCTAACGTTGCCCATATAGTGTGTCTAACGATCATGAAAGCTACGTAAAAGATAGTCACGAACACTGATCTAATAAACCGATAAAATATAATATCGAAAATAAGTTTGGTTGCCACCAATCATTCGTTTATCGTTTCGTTTATCAATTCGTAATCATAGTTTCGGGTTTCAGGCAGAAATGCGATACTTGGACAAATCTTAAATTTTACCGACAGAAGGTCTTCTTCTTGAAGAGATTTTCCATTTGTTTTTGCAATTTTTAAAATTATTTGCTTAGCTCCTTCTTTTCCGTTTATAATCAACCATCGTGGAGACTCAGGTATCAACCTGATAAAATTAACAAAGAACAATAATTCCTGCAATAAGAAGTTCAGAATACCCTAAAAGTTTGCATAATTGGGCTGATCTACATTACCGCTAACCAAGTATATTATACTGTGTAATCGATCTTATTTTACAAAATGTCCAGGGAGGCAATTCACGAGTTGGACAGAGTTATGATCTTGAAGTAATAGTATAATTACGTTGTATATATCATATTGGCGAAATAATTCATTTTAATAATTTGTAAGCAATACGGTTAATATCACTGAAATATGGGAGATCGATTCCTCGGGTTTCATCGATAGATAAACCTAATTTTGTAGATGAAAGTAGATTCTCATTTCATTTAATATCTTCATTATAAGCAAGTATTCATGAAAGTATCAGAGATGCAACTTTCCAGTTATTGCAAATGTTTTAGGAATGAGTAACTTGCGGTAATTAGCCAGCACTGCCCAAACCATGCACTTTCTTACTTTAAATAATTATTTATTTTACAGATAATTCCATTTAAATTCGAAAGTCGGCGGGGAGGGGAAAGGATGGGTCATTCCACTTGTTTGTCAAAGTATTCATAACATCATACTATGCTTCAAATAATATCTTAACATCTTAAGAAGTGTGATGTAAATATAATGATTCTATACCCACCAGTAATATGGAATGAACAGAACTCCCAATGCTCCCATAAACCACATCAGCCATCGCCAATTGGTCAAATACCACGCAGCTGCAGGTAACAACATGTAACCAATTGTGAATCCTCCGACCTCTAAAGATCCTACCAGAGCACGCTTAGAAGAGTCCACAATTTCTGTAACTGCAGTTATCAATATATTTAAATGAAAGAACGACATTTGCCAATGATTAGAATTAAATTCAAAACAAATGAGATATTTCGGTTTGACTTTAAATACCTATGGAAAATAAATCAAATCTGAAAAAAACAAATTTAAAATAATTCAGAAAAATTTAGACTATAAACAATCTGTTATACATTAAGTATTGAGTGACAATTGCAACTTATTAAAATCCCCCAATGAAATGAAAGTATTCATTTATTTTTTATCCAACTCTTTGCTGTTGGCAGATAGTATAGTAACCTTAGCATTGATTGAATACCTATCTGGTTGAATCGATTATGATCCTCTAAAGATTATATTTAATATACGGTTTGGGAGTATATATGAGGTGTTCGAACTAACAAAATAATGTTGGAAAGTGTATGAGAGCAGTTAAAACTAAAAGTTCACACAGCTATATATATGAACTATATATATGAACTGTTTGTAATATTAACTGGCGGTTAGGAAAGAACGGTCAATACATATATATATATTCAGTTTGAGCTGTAATGAACAAATATCAATAAACGATATTGATACGTAATTCAATGAATATTCATATGAAATTTCTCTCTTGATCTAAAACACAAAATACAATCATTTTGTTAAAAATTTAGTTGAGAATTAATAAAAACTTTAAAAAATGAAGGCACTGTCGATGTTGTCAAATTTGTAATAACTACAAGATCACAAGTATTAGAACAAATATATTCTAATAATATCATTTTACCAAGTGTTATGTTTGCTTTTCCGTGCATATATATGTCGGTGCCACCATAATGTTTTTATGATGTCTAACCCTAATTTGAATTAATGTTTTCAGGATAAGTGTCTTATTATAACTGCACGAAATGTTCTTGTTTTTATCTTAGTATTTTCCAAACAGCGTCGATTTTACTTTCGCCTGCGGCGAAGATAATAGGGCGTATAAATAATTTTAGCTAAACATGCGAACATCCCACACTATGGAAATTTCCATTGTATATTCCGTAGTAGCGAGCAGCGAAAGAATGCGTTTGCAGTTGACACTGATTATGTATACAAAAAGATAACAATAGAAATATTTAAAAATTAAGGAGAGTTGAGAAATCTGTCTATTCTCAATTCAAACTGAAAATATAAAACTATGCATTTACTATGAAATCTATTCACTAAAACAATTTTTTTTTACCTATAACGAATGCTGCTACGTAATTTATCAGTGCAGTGCATCCTGCCATGAACATAGTAGCGGTAAACAAAGCAGAGTTATTACAAAATCCGTTACAAAACATTGAAACGAATTGCAAAAACGTTCCCCACAAAAACACTGGCCTTCGTCCATACCTGAATCAAATTTGGTAGAAAGGTTTTGAATTGTGTAGTATAGCAATAGGTAAAGCACGTTAATTTTGGGCACAAGTCTAAAGATTTACAAAACACTCGGAGAAGCGACTATTTGTAGCTACTATTCAGCCTGCATTTATACTAGGCAGCAACTGTTTGAAATATAAAAGCTTTCGATCAAACATTTGATGATTCTGCTCCCGAAATTTATTTATTTGTGGTGACCTAAGGGCATGAATAAAATTTTTATATACAAAATAAAAAGGAACAAATTAAAAGAAGCCAAAAAAAAACAAAAACAACCACAGTGAACTCTAAATGACTAGATTCCTACAAATGCATTTTGACCTTATTTATTAACTAATCTGTGATAGTTTTCGACGTTGATAAAAATTATCATAGTAATGAAGTTGAAGGAAAGCCATTTGTAATTCAGCATACACACATCAAGTAGGGCTTTATGCACCGGGAAGTTATGAAAAATTGAGATATCAAGAATTACAATCTGATTCAAAATAAAATAACCTGTCAGACAAAACGCCACTGACTAGAGATCCAAGTAGAATTCCAGCCATGTAGAGAGATATCACCGACGGCTTTTTCCACGCATCATCACATACCCAATTCAACTATAAAATATGTTATGTCAAATTACAAATGCCATGTTTTTATAGGTCGGATATAGTCCCTAAGTACAGGAGTCGCGATTTTGCTGTTTTTAACTTTGCAACTTGAATGATATTCAATTCCATTTTCCACGATAACGTACTCGGGTTATAAAAATTCTAAATCGAAAAACGTGATACTCAGAAATCAATAAGGTGATTATGTTATTGAACTAAAGGAACTACATGTTTTAAATTATTCGCAAGAATTGTTAAGCCTAATCCTGTTTCCATATTTTTGATTGAGCCGCTGATTGAGATACAATTTTCTTCCGAGCTACATTCACAATCACTAATTTAAAACTATATTGAAACAAAAATATCGTTTAGGTTTCCTAATTTTACCTAATTATATATTTGATAATCAAACTTTGAGGAATGAAATAAATTCACATTAATTCCAATATAAATTTATTTGGCAACAAAGAACTGAAGGGACAACGCCACCGATGTACATTATTACCTCCATGACGACTGTCGTTTCAGCCCACATCGGGTAAAAAGTCCATCCTCCATCACATGGAATTATTGTTCTATTCTTGGTATTTGTAGAGTTAATCGAAGTCTTGTTGAACCTGTATGCAAAACCTTGGTATTATATCATTTTCGAAGATTGAAAAACCATACCGATATATATATACCGTATATAATCCCAACGTACTCGGGTGCATATTTCTTGCACTGACTTCTGACCAGTTCTCCATCTTCATTGTGTTCCCACGGAATTAGCTGGTCCAACCATAATTCTCTTCCAGTTTCTGTCAATTTAGTCTGCAAGTATTTTAATAAAAATTGTTTGCAAAATTAGATTTAAATGCTATTTTTGGACCATTCTGTATCTGATGCATGCATCATTCCACGACAGAAATAGCAATGCGGCCATTATTCGGTTCCGTGGTCGTATCATCTTGAATCAAGCAATAAATATATATATGACAACTTTTTGCTGCCCAGTATACAATAGTAATTCAGTTTTATCATATCTAAAAATATTCGGCCGAGCACGTTGCACGAAATGTTTGCATGCTCATTTTATGGAATCTTGAGTCCTCAATTTGGGCACTGTCAAATTATTCTCGCTTTATGATTTTACATCGCACATCTTTACTGTGACGTAACACATGACTTATTCCCTCCCCCCTCCCGTGCTTTACAGCCTTCTAGAATTTTCTTGCCACGAGGTAGAATGGTAGATGCTCTTTGCGGATTAGGGAGGATGCTGTGTGATTATATATTTTGTTAATGATGGGGTTTTTTATTTTTGGGTTAGGCTTATGCCATACAATACAGAACGATTATCAGGTGGGAATTTTTTACTTGAAATATAATTCAGTTTATTGTTTATTCATAAATTAGCCGAATGGGATTTGATGTATCATCATTATCTTATTTTGTATCTTAGCATACTTGTGGCTGTTCTTTGAGTCCTTGTCAAAAACAGTCAATTTATCACTAATACTAAGACTGTTAACACTGACGTCAACATTAGCTGCATTTTTTGGCTCCTTATCAATGCACAGAACAAAGTTTCTTTCAACACGAGTGTACAGGATTTTTGGTGTACCGATTGCGGTGTTGTTCAGTTGTTAGTGCATGGATTGAAGAAATTAATTTGGGGACCCAAGGGACAAAACGCGACTTTAGTTACCCTGTAAATCCGAGTCGTAGTGGGAGACATTACGCGTACTTATCCCACAAGTTGCAATTCCTCTGCTATAGCAAGGCCGTGTATGGTAATGACATGGTTGTTTGCATATTGATATCAAGTTGGCTGTATTTGTGTATCGAATTTGATTAGTTATATATTATGCACGATTTGCTCTATAATGTTTGTCACATTTACTACTCAGCTTTATTTAACTTGAGAATACAGCGTCGTCTATGGTGTAATAGAACTTGGATTTCGTAAAATGCCGACTCTGAACCCTGATTTGACTTCTATCGATAAAAAATTTTGAAAGTTGAATAAATTTCGGTAATTTGTGATCTAGTGAAGTCTGATTTCTTTGTTTCGTTGTTGGGGGTGAGGACCAGGCAACCATCACATAAATAGGGTGCGATAGAGATTGAGCTAAGGACTGAACCACTCCCATCAGCCCTAATATTATAAAACGCAAAATGATTACACTATATTGAACGTTGGATGGCTGATCCTAGATTTTGTTATGCCCATACTTGTTTTTAAATTACTTTCATTTTATGAATCTTACCAACATGATATCATTACTTGAAAATTGTTAATTTTAATGCGCGATTGTATGTCATTGAAATAATAATTATATATAAAAAAACAATAAAATTCTCACCAGGTTATACTTGGCAAAATCAACATAGCAGTGATGCGATGGAGTATCGAGTATAAAAACCGTCACCATCGTAAAAAGTCCATTAGGTATCGAGCTTAACACAAGCAATCCCACTATTATCTTCTGATACTTGCCGTAACCACCAATTCTATGCAGAATATCTTCATACTTCATTTTTAATTCGACGAAAAACTAAAGTATTCGTACTTATGTACTGCAGTGCGTAGTTGTTACACATCTGTTAGACCTGTACAACTAACAAGACCCTGAAAGAGACAAATGTACAGGATTATGAAAACGTGTCTTCTAATCCTGCAATTATAAATGTTTAATAAACAAAAGATCAATCCCGGAGATGTTGCGTATATTTGACAGGATTAGAACATGCATTTTGAAACGGGCTTTTCAAGACTTTCATACACCAATTATAATATATTATGTGTTTGTTTTTCAATAGAAGGTCAGTCTCAAAGAGAAAGGTATCGGATATAGCGCGAGATAGCAATATTTTTAACTCTCCTGGCAACCTCCTCAAAACCTGTGTCCCAAAAATTAAAGTCTTTCCAGAATATCAAATTAGTTAAAAATGACGACTTATTTAGCAAAATATCTTGCAAATTTTGATAGCAGATTAAAAAGGCTGCTGCTTATAAACTGTATCAGTGAGGTCGGAAACTTTTGGTGAGATACAAATTCAGTAATATTCACTGAGAATAAAGTTTATTATACAATGCAATACAATTTATTTTGGCATTCTGAAAACAGAAAATCTCGAACATAAAACGAACAAAACACATAACAGAAATGCCCGGAAAACGAGCAAAACTTATCAATAAAGTTTATAACGCACAATGCACGTGATCGTTTACCAAAAGTGAAACAAATAATATATTTATAAATAATAAAAAGATTCTATGAGCAGCAGTAAAAGGCTCATCGGGCATTTCATGTGAAAAAAGTGAGTCACACATACAAGTTGAAAAAATGACAATAAAGTTGATAGTGTGTCGGACACAAACGCGTTTCAGCCAAATAAACGCATTTGGGCAATAATTACATGTGATCAAAGAGAATGCAAACTAAACACAACAAAACAAACAAATTCCAGAACATGCATATACAGATGCCAAAATTTGAAGGCAGTCCAATTGTTGCACATAAAAACTAACAATATAAGTTTCCATAGATTTCGGATGAATTGAAGGTTTTCTTTACATTGAATTAGAAATTGTACTCACGGCTTTATTTTGGGGTCTAAATCCGATATTCGTGAAAATGTTCGAAATCTGCCGTTATGTTGAGTAGTTTGTGAATGATGATTGAATGAATTTTGAAAACTTTTCACTCTGATTGTAATTCGACGAATAGATTACTATATAAACCTATAATTTTGATGGTGTTTTACTCTGCGCTGAAGAGTTTATTCGTTCCAGGTTTTCTATAACCTTTTTCAAACTAGTAAACCGAAAAGAAAGCACTACCCTCGACTTCTATACATTTCGGATTTATTGCATTGGATCGCTTGAATTTGAAACAATGTCGAATCTAATGAATAATACCGAAAATAGGTTTGTGTTAAACTATATGTCCATGAACCTGATGCCACTGTAGGACACGATAGACCTTTTCAGGTCCACGAAATAAATTTTCGTCGAACTTAAAATACACACTTTCATCTGCATTAATATTTCCGAGACACTGGACAAACTGCCAACAAACGCACGCTGTTGCTTTTTCGAGTCGCTTCACGCTCACATATCCTGCGAAATATGTTAAGCTTTCTGTCCGCGTTACAAAGAATTTTTTTGACCAACTGTTAATCGACAGATTGTCCCATGGGACAATGCATACATAAATAAAATTAGACTCTCGTTGCTATTGGCAGTGTTTCCGGTACATTGCCACGGATGTAATATTGGTTTATATAACAACTCCAGAAAAATCATAATATCCGAAAGAAATATCAAGACAAACAGGATGTCATAATATTGGATGATGATTAATAATGATCTACCATTTGATTTCGTTCGCAGCACTAAACCTGGCATATAAACTTGCTAATTCTGAACATAATATGTGTCAAGATATTTTGGTAAACCTTGCTCTTTGGAATGATTTGGATCCAGATCAAATATTTCCGAGTTTCTTGACCGCAACTTCAAAGTAAGTCATACTCCCCAGTTTTAAATATTCTATCGTGCAAATGATGTTAACGCCGGCCTGGTGGATAACATATTTTTGATAAAATCCATAGATTCTTGTAGCCGATATAAAGTGGTTTAAAATTATTTGAAAAAAAAATGACGGCTACAAATAATAACTTTTGCATTACCGTATTTTACGAACCATAAGGTGCACGGTATTATAAGCCACACTGTCAATAAATACTTAGATTGAATTTTTATCCGTACATCGGGCTATAAGATCAAACGGTTTTTGAAGCAATACCGGTGCATGCTTTGTGTGTAGGAAATAAAGCACTACCTGATCCATACATTACGCTCACCGGCTTATAACGATCGATTCTCGAGGGGGAAAAGGGATTCAAAGTCTATTGGTCCGTAAAGTATGGTTCTCAGGTTTATTATATAAAGTTATATATCACATCCTCCATCCATGACCTTTTCAAATTGACCTCAAATAGGATCAGTGAATGATACTCACTCAAAAATGAAATAAAGTGAAAATTGCCAAGCCAGCTCGCGAAACCGAATCAGATTTTTATTGAATTAATATTTACGCATGTAAACAACACCAAAAGTCGGGACTTTCTAAGTCTACACAATAGCCCATCTCCCAAATTAATACCAATGTAACAGTTACAATGCAAAATGATTTAATGAGCTCTTTTGTTTATTGAATTGAATGTAAGTAAACTCGCGATATTTCGATCACTTTTGGGTTTTCTCCGACTTAGGGCCGGGGGACCTCCTCAAAAGTTTTGCGGTACTTCAACCTAGCGACCTTGAACCACCCTGGGGTAGACTACTAGGTACCGGTAAAATTTGGTACCTTTGGTATTTCGATTCACGTTGAGACTGGAGGCATGAATCTTTATTGTCACACTCCTTGATGATTAGAGCTCAACCGTTATATCGGCCCGATGTTGTGTGTTTGCCGATATATCGTATCGGCAGTAAACAGCCGATATATATCAACTAAATATAACAGGTAAAAAATCTGAAAATGTTCGTAAAAGTTGTTTTATTTACTGTTGGTTGTGATTATTCTTTATGTATAATAAACTTATGTGGTTTATTGTTTTTATAATTAAATTACACATAAAGGGGCACCAAAGTTCTCAGTGATTAGGGCACCAAAGGGGCATAATCCGCCCCTGAGTGTAAGATTGTTGTTTACCAGCAACTTATTGGAAGATTTTGTTGGTGTGTTGGAGCCGATAACAGCGTTTCTTAAAGAAAAAGGGAAAATTCTACCCACAGCTGGAAAATGATGCATGGCTGCAAGACCTAATGATTTTCACGGTTGTGAAGAGGCATTGGGAAACTTTCAACTTGGCACTTCAGGGCAATAAAAATACGATTTCTGATCTTGCCCTACCGGTTGATGAATTGCAAGAGCTTATGGAAAATTTTGAAGCTTGATTTAGGGATTTGAAGGAGACGCACAGACGCATGCACCTATTTCCGAAATGAAACTGATTGAACTGCAAGAAGATCTGGCTCTCGAGACTTATTTGCGTAAAAGCGAAACTGCGATTGATTTATGAGAAAAAGTTTCAGACAATAAATACTATTAAGTTAAAATGGCTAGTGTAAGACCCATTTCAGTTTTTAGCGCAACATACTGCTGTGAGTTGTTATTTTCAGTAATGAACTTCATAAAATTAAAATTTTGTGCAACTTTAGCAAATGAACATATGACAGTATTGGTTCGCACTGCATTGACTACATAGCGCACAGACTTTCAAAAACTTATAGATAGGATGGAAACACACAATTAAACTACTCCTGATGAGCCCGCGCAATAATATTATTTGATGTTATTAGATATTTGAGTAAATTACTTTCCTGTTCACGGTGTTGTGATATTAATATTTTCAAAAATTAAGCGGTTCTCACCTATTTCTGACTCGCTGCATGGGGCTCTCATACTAAAATATTTTGCCCACCCCAGCTTGCCTTTAACCTAATGCAAAATTACGCCGACGAGATCTCAGTATACGTCATCAGCGGACCTAACTAATATTATCGGTCGATTTAAGCAGGGTTAACATTTGAAAACTCGTGTCTCGCAAACGAAGTCCACTTGATGTAAGCGGTAAATGCCAAAAATCCTAACAAATTATATAGAATCAAATTCGCAAAAAAATTTTTCATTAATCCTAGAGAGTATTTTGAATTAAAAAAATTGGAGGATTTTTTTTCAAAATGTTTCGAAATTTCAAGGATGCACGCCTGTCACGTAAAAATAGGAAATCGTAACATATAATTAGTGTACAAGGATAAAGGCTAAACAAGATAGACTACAATAATACACAAGATTAGTATATAAGATGTGTTTATTTCAGTTATTAGAAAGATTCATATCAAATAATAAATAGCGGAGTGATGGAGAGGTATATTTCAGTAATATATTTGAAAAATAGAGGTTAAACTTTCGGACCCTACTCATTATAAGTTACAATTACCTCACACATTGAACCGTGAAGTTGACATAATTCAGTTGTTCCGCCTAGAATTTTGAGGTGTCTAATGATACTCAAAAATATTGTACAATTCACAAATATTTGAAGCCGAGAGCTATTATAATCATGTTTAGCTCACGAGATGAAAAATAGAAATAGAGTTGTCCCGTCAGTATTGATAGAAGCAAACTAAAACCCCAAAAAATATATCATATGCAGTGAAGTGGTTACAAAACATTATGAGACGTTAACTGCCATTTTTTTCAAAATCAGAAAACTTCATATTTTCTCTTCCTGTCTGGTTTCCTGCATTTGATGCAAACATTCCGATTGAGCATTTCTCTTCTTACATGAATCTATATTGTATCTAAAAAATGGAATAACTCAATCATGTGGCTAAACTATCCTAGCATATGCATCATAGATAGCATCGTGTTGTCTAAACAACTTTCCATGGTCTAACACAACGTGTCTCAAACTTCCCCCCCGGAACACCTACGCATTTTGTCTCGCTGAGTTTCCTCTTCATGGTGGTACTTTATCTTTGACTAAAGGAAGAAGTTCATACTTGCATGAGACATCGAACGGTTAACAAAAACGACATGCTTTCCAGACTGATACG